CTTGTAGAGAACCCGATACTTGATTCCTCGTACCTTGTTGTAACCCAACCAACTGCTCTTGCAACTGATCTTGCGATTCCTTATTAGATAGCTCCATTGCTTCCATTTATTTGTCCATGATGATGAGGAAGTAGTATGAATGAATGATCTTGTTATTACTGTCACATAATCTTCCATAAGTTATTTCCATGTTTTCATAATTAATGCATATAAAATACTTAAATAAATATATGCAATGTAAATGTAAATGCTAAATGCAAGTACAAAAGGTGTCATTCCAGAGTGACCATCTTTAAAAAAAACTTTCATTGAACAAAAAGGTCCCGGTACATCAAACAAACTTTACAAATAAGGAATGGCTTTCACTCCTAACTTTTCTATCTTATTCAAAAGCCAAAGTAACTTCCACTCATGTTCGGGGGTTGAGTTATCAATCTGCTTCAATTCTCTTGCAAAACCAGCTAAATCAACTAATTTGTGAGCCAAAATGCTTGCTTGGGTCATAGCTTCTTTCATGACGTCGTCCCTTTTCTCTATCTTGAGTGCCGATTCCTGGAGCTATAGACACTACTGTTGAATCCTCCTTGTAAGAAAGTCATTTTGGTTATGAAACTTGTGCATAAGATCACTACAATCATCCATAATCCTCATCAACTTCTTGTTCTTGGCTCTAGTGGCTTCTAGCTCGGCTTTATTCTCCCGCTTGTGGCGTTGATATGAAATTTCCATGTTGGCTATGGACCTTTTTAACGTCTGAATTTTGGCTTGATATTTTCCCAAATCATTTATAGTTGTATTGCGCCTCTTTTCTGCAGTCTGTAAATCATGAAAAAACTTCTCTGCTCGACTTTCGTGCACCTTGCAGTTCTTTCTCCATTGTTCAGCATCATTCTTCAGTTTAGCGACCCCTGTTACCCACTCATCTGGGACATTCCCCATACCAGAAAAGTTAAAAGCTTGACTGATCTTTTGAAAACCATCTCGCATGGCTTCCATATCTCTACTCAACTTATCATTTTCACTCTTTAAATGGCGAATCTGAGCTTCATATTTTGGCAAACAATCTTCCTCCTGGATGTCCTTACTAATACCCTTACCTTTGGTCTCTTTTGGCTCAAACTCAACAGGACAATCTGTTACCAAACTATGTTGAGCTTTCAATTCGAACTTCAATACTCCATGATCTAGAAGATGTTGGACTCGACACTTGAAGGTAGAGCAATTCTCGATAGAATGTCCTTGAACTCCAGCATGATAATCATAACGAACATTGACATCATACCAACGTGGATATGGAGGCTGTAAAGGTTTCACATAATGTGGGGCCACTTCTCGGGCTTCTAACAGTTCATCATACAACTCTTTATATGATATTGGGGTATAATCAAAATGAGAGCCACCTCTCGACTTGGATTGAACTGGAGCTTCAAGCTTTACTTCCTCTGATGTTGGGAGTAGACTATCACACACGAACGAGTTCTGACTGCACGAATTATTTTCATCCTTCTGAACTTCTAGAGTTGCCACTATTTCCCTGGCGTTTCCAAACAGCTTGTTGATACGGACAATGATTGTGCGTGGCTTCTCATACTGGCTAGAATCAGCAGGTTCTAAAGTAGTCCCTTGTGTATCTAACATCTCGAGATTGTTTTCATTGAGCTTTCTCCTTTCTTTTGTAGAAGTCTCTCTTCCTCTGGCCAAAACATCTATTCTATCCATCATCTTCGACATCTGCTCTTTCAATTCTCTTATCTCCTTTTGCTCTTCGTCAGCCATATGATCTTCGGGTGCAGATCTCTCCACTATTCTCGAAGTTTTCTCAAGATGCCATTTCTCAGTTGTATTATAGTTTGCTTGATCATGAAACCCCTTGTCCATCATGAAAACCTTCTACTCTGATGACCACTCACAAATCAACACCTTTTGATTATGTAATGATCATGCAATGCAGACAAAAAGAAAAACCACATTAAAAACAAGTTAGTACAAATAAGATAACAAAATGACAAAAAGAAACAATAGAAAAATAAATAAATTAATAAGCTAATGCAAAAAAAAAAAAAAAGAATGCAAATGAAAATGCACGAGGTGTTAATCCCAAAAGTGACCACTTATAGAACAACCTTTCATTTAGACAACAAGAATTCAGTAAGTACACCATGTAGTCAAAATACATATGTGATTCTTCATCTCTTCATTTCCTTGAGTCGTACTCTTCATGAAATCTAGTATTGCACCTCCAAAATTGTCGGCGTATTTGATCATCTTTGATGACGTCGGATGTCCTTAAATTGAATCTTGAAATCTCCATTCTTACCTCCAATGCGAAGTGGTCTTCATGTCTTTGTGAAAGGTCTTCTTGTCCTTGGTATGGCTATATCTATCTTCTGAGGGAATCTCTCGACCTTTGCTCCTTTAAAGGAAATCTTCAATCAGCTTCAGATTTCTTCATTCATCGGACGTCTTTCTTCATGACTCATTTGAAAATCTTTGGATCTCCCGGTTTTGACTACATGGTGGAGAATTTCTTGCCTCAATATGACCAGCCTTCTTGTTAGTCAATCACTTGCGAATTAACACCCCTCGATGACATGAGGATGCAAATGCAATAAAATCACAATAATAGACATAGAACGCAAACGAGTTAGTACACATAAGATAAACAACAAGATAGTAAGCATCGTAAACATCAAATAAAACCTACCCTCACATGCTGGCTACCCAATCATGCTTTAGTTGATCCTACCCAACATGATATCTACCCACATGCTTTTTCATTTACAACAAATCCTAACCTCATGATATCTAATTCACATGCTTCGTACGGAAACTATAAAACCTAACTGCATGTTTTTCTAGTTCTCATACTTTTTGCAAAAATAAATAAATTCGAGGAAAGTGTCAGAATGAGTTTCCTCTTCATGTCTGTGAACAGAGATTCAACGTAAGATGGGCAGAGGTTTGGTAATACTAACATGGTCCTCGAATTGTCTTTTGCTGGTGCCCCCTTGGGCTTGTCAGACCCTCGATCCTCACCCATTATAGGCTTAAACGAGTCAAGTTCAATTCGAGAGGATACATTTCCCTATGTCCATGCGAGGAAACTCAATGTTTCGCTCGTAAACATAAGGCATGTACCCCAGAGGTTACTTGCTAAAGCCCATGCGGAGAAAAGTAATTTTTCTCACGTAAGCGTAGCGTTCACCTCTACTTAACGGGTCAGAGCACAGTTAGAAAGCTCTAAAAATCGAAAGGTTATAGCGACAGTGGGGGAAAACTCATAATCTTTTGCCTCGATCCAAGAAAAACAACATACAAAAATAAAGGTCAGAAAGCTAAAACATGTAAATCACACGTTAGTACAACTATTTATTTGTTAATCAAATTACAAATTAAAATGCAAACAAAAAATTTAAAACAAACAAAGGATAAAAACCAAATTAGAACGAACTTATAACTTTCATTTGCAAAGACAATTAATTAATCGACTATCGGTCTGGCTCTCTAAAAAAACTCCTCAGTGGAGTCGCCAAGCTGTCGAAACTATTTTTTTCTTAAAGAGCAAGATTTCAAAAACCACGTCATTTTTAATTATTCTCTTTACGATTGAATTTTTAATTAAAAACGATGCGATTTTAGAAAACATCTCGTTTCGAAAATTTGAAAATTCTTTTACGATAAAAAACAAATACGGTTCGAGGAGTCGCCACCAATATTTGATTAGGGTGTGATTGGGCACCAAAAAACGTTGTCATTTTAAATAAAACTTAATTTTAATTAAAACAACAAATAGTGGTATACATTACCATAAAATGAGTTCGGGAGTCGGTTACGCGTGGGGAAGGATTAGCACCCCCACAACGCCCTAAATCGGTACCTAATCGATTAATTAATGTCTTTGCAACGAATTTTACAAGTTCAACTTTAATTTAATTTTTGATCCTTTAAAACAACAAAAATGTGAATTTTATAACATTCAAAAGCAACGAAATATGTTAAATTAAAATTACCAAGCCATTAGAAAGATAAAGAATATTCGATTATTTAAAAATATTGAGAACAGATCTTTAGGTCAGTTCTAACGACCTTTTCTCAACAAATTTAAATAGCCGAACATTTCTTTTTCTTTCACTCCCAAATTTTAAAGTGAAGAATCAAATTTTTTTAGTGACAATGACATGATACACTTGTAATTTAAAATCGTCAAGAACAACTTTCCCGTAAGTTAAGAAAAACCATTCTGACAATTTCAAATTAAAAGGGTATTACCCTTAATCCGATTATGTGATCAAGTTGAGTTATGCACGTGGGGCTATCATGCAAATCATACAAAAATGATGTCATGCAAAAATTAATTAAACAAACATTAAGATTAAACATATCATTTAATGTGACATTTAATACAAAAATTCTATTAATATTTTTCATAGCTATAAATTATAAACTATATATATATTAATATGTAATGCACAAATGTAACTTAAGTACAACAAATAAAAACATAACATCTCAAATTATACGTTTTAGGAAATAAATATACTCATTAAAATAGGGACTAAATAATATTGAACACAACTCTACTGGCTTTATTACAAATAAAATAATAATTTGGGTAAAAACTAATATTATACTATAATAAATCATGAAGCTAAAACAAAACAGCTTAACATTATAAAGGATTAATATCGAAATAAGCCCTAAACATTTAAGATTAAAAAAAACATGCAAGAATTAAAAGTCCTAATGTCTAAACAAGCAGAAACTAAATATATTACTAATTAAGGACTAAAATAAAAAGTGCGCAATATATGGAGTCAAAATTAAAAATAGGAAACATTTCGATTTGAGGACTGAAATGAACTAGAGTGGAAACTAGCATGACTCTTACATAGATAAACCCATTCGGACAAAAGGTGGGCTACTCTAGTTCCAAACAGAACGATGTAGTTTCAATTAAATAAACCTAAATCTAAAACTGAAACTTAACCTAATAACTAAAACATAACTCAGCCGCTCCTCACTTCTAAGCCTCCCTCTTCTTCTTTGTTCGAGAGCTTCAAAGCTCTCTAGTCTCGCAAACCACCATTCAACGTCGCTGGTGATCAGGTAAGCTCTAGTCTGACCAGGCGAAAACTAAAGCTCCTCTTCCTCGTTTAACCCCTACAACCGAGTGCCTAGAAGCCCCAATCCAACCCCTAACATGATAAAAGGCCCCGACTTTCCACTTCCGGTGACCTGGGACCATGGATTCTAACGATGAACATTCACATAGCAAGGTAAGTTAGATCGAGACACCCCCCCGTTACTCTTACTCTTTTTTATTTTTTTTTCAAAACAAATCTAAAACTAACTTATAATCATGCAAGCCTGGATTTGAACCTTTGAGTCCTTGGACTCTCCGGTTTCCTTTTCCGACGTTCGACCCCCACAATCCCGAACTTTCTTGACTCTGGTGGCTATCAAAAGACCCTAGGTAAACTATTTTACTTCCTTTCTCTATTTGCTTATTTTTCGCTTCAGATTTTGAGTACCCTAATGACTACTGATGATGATGGGTTTTGATTGGTCGTTTTGAATAATGACTTTGGTTCTTTCTTGTTTGTTTCGGATATGGGAAAAAATATGTTCCAATTTTTTAGAACAATTATCATTTAATAACAATGACAAACATCTAAGCAGCACAAGTTACACAAAACAATTCAAAGTGTTACTGCATAAGAGTCTTATTTGTTTTAGTGCAAGAAATGTTTTTAACAACATAACTGAAGCAGAACAGCTTACCAAGCACAAACTGAAAGTGTATTCTTCCTCGGGTGTAGTTCAATCCCTGAGAATCAATGACAGTCTTGATTTTACCATGATACTTCTGTTCTCATTTTAAGAAAATAGAAACAGAAGATATCTCTTTGAGCAGCAAACGTTCCCCAAGTATCTTCCCAATCTTCGCAGCGGCCGCAACGCCCCGGGTAGATTCCTCCTATTTTTCGTTTCTTGTGTTTGTTAACTTCTTCCCCCCTTGGTTCCTGAATCCTCCCTCCTTTTTATCGCCAAATCCCATTGTATGTTGTTGGATTAGGTAGAAGTAAGTGAATTATTTCTCTGATTTGGTGAAGTGAAATCCCGAAAGTTTAGGGATTTTCGGTTGCTTTTTTCTTTTTCTTTTTTTTTTTTTTGACTTGGATGATAATTTTGGTGATTGATTGGTGTTTGATGTGGATGATTTGTGCAGTATCGGCATAAAAAATGGCATGATTGGCGGCAGCAGCTAAACAGATCAATTCTGGATTCGGGTCACACTTGGGCTCCGGGTTTTAATTTCTTCAAGACTGTTGTAATTGGTCTTTGTAGTTTGGGCCTGTAAACGTTGTAAAATAATAATATTAATAATAATTATAATTTTATAATAATAAAAATTATAATATAATAATTATTATAATATAATATTTATTTCTCGGACAAAAACGGGTGCCTACAAAACCCTTGGAGTGGCGCAAAAGATATGATTGGACGGGGTACTGCGGAAAGTATAAAACTTTGAACCCGGAAGACAACTGTGGCAAGTGCTTAAAGGTAACCAACACAGACACGAAAGATTCGGTAACAGTGAGTATCATGGATACATGCGGCGGAGAAGTGGAAGCCTTGGTGTTGAACTACGAAACAGCTTTTAAACCGATTGACACTGGCGGCAAAGGGCATGAAGCAGGCTATCTTACTGTGGACTATGAATTTGTGGAGTGTGACGACGATGTTCTTGTCTATTCCCAGTAACTTTGCTTTATATTAATTACCAAAGGCTTGAGATCTCCCACTCCATTTCACATGAATCTTGTCAGTGTAAAAACCTGTGTAATAAACATGATAATGCGGAATCATAAATTCCGCTTGCAGATTGTAACATGAGATAAATAAGAAGTGGGATTGTGCCAACTGCTTAGGATTTCGTTTCTATAAATGGAATTATATGAGCTTTATAGATATTGAAATTTAAGTATTATATTTGAAGATGACTACACTTCCAATTACACTTCAATAACACTTTCGATCGGATAATAATTTAATATAACTGAATGTTATATCAAACACAAATCAATCATCTTTTATGCAAAGATGATAGCATTAGTTTGGTGCAAGGCATTGAAAGAAATTAACTTCCTAGATGAGAAGCTGTGGTAGAAATGATCTGGGGCATGAGCTGATTCGAGTGACGTTCAGATTAGATTGAAGGTAATTTGGCAGCCTCCTTGCATGGGTCAGATGAAGTTTAAGGTGGATGGGGCAGCTTTGAAGGATGCAGCAGGTTGTGGGGTGTGTTAAGATCAGCAGCTGGGTATGTGGTGGTAATGTTTTTTGGGCCCATCTCATGTGTTAATTCTGATTTTGCCGAGCTATTAGCTATCAAAACTGCCTTAGAGATATTTAATGAGTTTAGCTGGTTTGGGGAGACTGAGCTGATTATAGAATCTGATTCGAAAGTAACATTGAACTGGGTTCATTCCTCCCTCATTCGCCCTTGGAGGTGGCGAGCTTTATTTGAAGAGATTGATCGAAGATTAGTGACTGTAGGGAAGGTACAAACTTGTATATACTCCTAGGATATGCAACAACATGGCAGATTACCTCGCGAAAATCGGAACAAGCAGACAAGAAATGTTTAAAGCCTGTTGGTAAGATAGTCTTCGGCTCTGTGTCTGTATGCCCTGCTTAGTTTAAAGCCTATATGCTTTGCTTAGCTGGTCTTATCTAGTAGGATTACTGGGTTGTTTGGTAGCATGAAGTTATGTTGGTTGCTCTTTGTTATCAACTTCTTTTCGTGTTGACTGTCTGGTGTTGTTTTGTACGTTATGTTTATGAAGATTATTGCCTAGTTTTGGCATAATGAGAGCCCATGTATATTTTTTGGACCGGTTGTATGTATCCCAACCTTGGAGTACTCTTTTCCCCTATTTAGGCTAAGAGGAGTTTTTAATGAGGCTCTCGGTTGGAGTTTAAAAATTACATGTTGCTGAGTAAAAAAAAAAATCAAATAAGGCTTAAGATAAAATGGAAACAACGTTCATAAGAATTTCATTTAATGACACCTGAAATGATATTCATTGAAATTATCTGGAGTCCACACTTCACTAAATCATCTGAACACATCTGATCGACCGAAAACTCGAACCAAAAGGAATTTAATGATACATCTGAAGCATTTATGGAATAAAACTTACGGAACTCAAATTCATAAATCTTGGTTTTTAAGATTTCAAATTATTACAATCTCAGACCGAACAACTTCTCTCTCGACATACGCATGGATTATCACAATGTTGGCTCTTACAAGAATCTGTTACACAATTTCGAGATTTAGTTCTGCCATTGAACTCTATAGAAAATCGACTAAGTAACATCATTTTTAAAAATCATGGGAAGAAAATTATCAAAGCTGAGAAGACACTGACTTGTCGAAACATTAAAGAGCTCTATCGAATCACTCTAATTTTAGAACACACACAAAAACATCATCAATGAAATCAACCATAAAAAATGATAAGATCACATTGGAGCATCAGATTTAGAAAATTTGCAGAGGTGTCTATCAGAACGATTGACCTCAAAGGTACAGTAGAGAACTTTCGATTGATAGGAACCAGATGGAGGACCACTTTGATTATCATATAGGTTTTGCTAAACTTGCTTACACAGGTCATCGACTTAGTGAGTAAACACACACTTTTCTTTCACAATGACTTGATCAACTGACTCTGGTTCACACACGAAATTTTAGTAATTAACTGTTCATTTTCATCATGATATGTATATTTTGCTTTCGTTGTGCACTCCACTATTTGAGACATGACTGAGGGAGAACTTACAACTTTATTTTACAACCACGACATTGACTAAAGAAAGATATTCGAATCAACTCATTTTTTTAGGAATCAACTATTGCTTAATTTGTCGAAATTTCAATTCCACACATATCTTATCACTTAAGTACTAACTTTTGCATTGTAACCTCACGATATAACTTTTAATCAGCGTTTTCACTTTTGTTTTGACATTTTTTGTAACACTCTGAAAATTGGTGTAGAATTTTTTCGACGTCTATCAATTGGAAAAGTCCGTGAAAAAGATTTAATAACTAAAATGGAAGAAGTGAAGAATTTAAAAAAAAATTAGTGAAACTGGTAAAACTTAGGTGTCAAAGTGAAAACAAAGAATAAATTAAATGGCTAGTAATTAATTAGAACATAATAAATTGCAAGTGGTGGAGAGATGGATGACTAAATGGTGTAATTTCTTTGAATTTCTTTAATTTTACTTCAAAGTAAGCAAACCCAGTTGCCAAGAAACATAGAAAGCCTTTAGAAGCATGTCATCATTTTCAACCTAAGAGAAAACTCCATTGTTGCCGTGAGAAGCCTTATAACCCTAAAACGTCTCTCTAAAAATTAAAGACCTTTCTTTTACCCGATTTAGAAATTGATTACATATTTAGAATTTGTATGCTATAATTTTCATTGGTAGTGTCAATTTCAAGTTTAGGTAAGTTGATTCAAAACCCTAAATGAGATTCAAGTTAGGGTTCATAGCAAAATCAAGGGATTTTGCTTAATTTGATCATTTTTGTTGATTAAGTGTTCTTATACCTTTCTAGTGCAAGAAGGAACGGTGGAAGCCATCACTCCAAGAGGAAAAGCTAAGGTTATCGGGAGTGGATAATCGAGCTAAACCGAGCTACTTCAGTTAAGGTGAGTGTAGTCCTTATTCTTTGTGCTAATATGTATTTTAGGTCATAACCTTGTAGGTTATATCTATGTGAATTATTGGCTCACCTAGAGCATCAAAGGATGGCAACTTGTGCAAGTGGATATGTTGGTAAGATTGGTAAGTTTTGTGCATTTGATTGTTATTGAAACATGTTATGTATATTCATATGTATATGATGATGTCGGAGAGTTGCTTCAGACTTAATTCAAGCCTGTGAGATGAAATGTGTTTATTGTAAGTTATGTGTTAAATTGAAAGTACTCATGGTTAGCATATCGATTTTGAGATACAATTGGCATGCTATATGATCCATAGTGTTTATACGAGTATTGTTTGGACTTGGGTACCATTAGTGACAGAGGGATGATGATTTGGTCAGACTTATGTCTTTCGCAATTATAGAAGGATTGATCATTACGTGGGCTATATGCATAATCGGAAGTGAGAACAGGATTCGTATACCAATTGTTCGAAAGTGTTCCATCAGGCTTATGTTTAATGAATTTAACATGATATTGCATGACCACTGTTGTGCTTAATGTTAAAGATGAAAAGAATGCTATGTTAATACTATGATCATTGAACTTGTCATCCTAGGTAATGATATGTTTATGATTATCTCATTAAACTATATAAATTTACCTTGTGTGTTTCAGTAATTTCAAGACATCACTCTACTGAAAGGATTCAGGATTGCGGTTAAGGGTTGCAAGTCATCATCTTTTGGTCATGTAAATTTCTTGCTAAAAACTTATCGAATGGTTACTTTGTAAACCAATGTTATTTTGTGATACATGTTGAAATGTATATTTTGTATTGTTATTTGGTATGATGACGATGTTGAAAAGATTAGTGGAGCTCAAAATCCGGCAGACATGTTAACAAAGACGGTGACTACGGACAAACTGAAGTTGTGTTCAGCTTCAGTTGGCATGCTAGAGTAACAATACCAGAAATGCTGCATCGATCAAAGTGTGAAGACAGATTAAAATCAGTCTTCAAGTGGGAGATTGTTGAAAGTCAATTAAGGGGGCAAACAAAGTCAATTAAGGGGGGCATCGAATTCGGTGGATTGGGCACCGAATTCTGTGGATTGGGCACCGAATTCGGTGCATTTAATTTTTGTTGAAAATTGTAATGAGGGAATTGCATTTTAGTCCCTGCACTTTAGGGTATTTACAAGATTAGTCATTAAGCTTCAACTACAAATACCCTAACCCATTTAGCTTCAAAATCATCTCAAATCATTTCTTTCTCCCAATACTAAAGAGTTTAGAGTAAACACCTGTAAATTTTCTCTCTTTAGTGAAAGATCTGCAGCAGTCCGGAGACGTATAAATAATTGGCTGAACTCCGTTATCATTTTCGGGTATTATTTTTCCGCTTTTATTTCGCATTCTCACTAATATTGTTATAGGAAAATTACTCGTTTATTTCTCAACAATTGGTATCAAGAGCTTTTGGTGGTAAATTTTGTCACTTTTTCTATGAGGTTATTATTCACATGAATAATAAATTTTATGAATAGTAAAATTTGGTCGGAGATACAAATTTGTCGACGGAGGTATTCTAATACATGGTGGTTCGCAAGAATTGTCAGAAACAATCCAAAAGAAGCCA